GGTGATCAACATTGATCGGTAATACAATTATGAGGAAGAAGAATTCAATAAAGAAGCAGTGATGATAAATCCGACAAAGCCCCAATTTTAGATTTCACTAATATGTGCAGACTGTGACCCTAACTCAAATCCATTCTAATAAGGTCGAAACTTTGCTGGTCAATGAGGTATTGATGTAAAATTAATTAAGTTCTATCGGGGTTCTGCTTCTTCCAACCCCGAATATTATGTAAAACTAGAAGATGTTGCTTAATCTAAATTAATGGAACTCCCTTTTTAGTGGTGTTTTCCTTGTGTTTAGAAACTAATTCAATGTGGGCAGTGGTCAAAAGACTAGTCACTCATTTTTTAGAAATTATGGAGTAGTATCGGTCAACCTTTTAGTTCAAAGCAGTGTCTTGGTTCGATGCGGTAGGGTCAGTGGACGATACAAAATTTTATCTGGTTGTTACTGAAGAGCCTAATGATGATTGATTGGAAGCTTAAGAAGACTTTAAAGATTCTTTAGTTGGAGATGCTTTGCCAAAGTTTGAAGAAGAAATTAAGTTAACAATTGATGAGCTAAGAGAAGTTAACTTTGGGACTAGCAAAGAGCCAACTTTTGTTAGCTCCTTGCTCATTGAAGAAGACTCTGCAAATATAGTTAAATTGCTAATGAAGTTTAAAGATTGTTTTACTTGGAGTTATGAAGAAATGCCCAGATTAGCTCTGGAGGTTGCAATGCATAAGTTGGGATTGAATCAAGCCACTATTCTAGTCAGACAAGCTCCTAGAAGAACGCATCTAGAAATCGAGCAACAAGTCATAATAGAAGTTAAAAAATTTATAGATGCTAAGTTCATCCATGATGAATAGTACCCGACCTGGTTGGCCAATGTGATGCCAGTTAGAAAGAAGAATGGTCAGATTCGAGTGTGCATGGACTTCAAAGATCTGAACTAAGCATGCTTGAAAGATGAATTCCCACAATAAATTTCAGAGTTGATGATTAATATGGATGTATCTTTAGGATATATTCAAATATGATGGCGCTAGAAAATGAGAAGCTCATGGCTTTGAGAATGTTGATTGGAGTGTATTGCTAGACGGCAATGCCATTCGGGTTGAAGAACGTCGGTGCAACTTATCAGCGAGCAATAACAAGGAACTTTGATGATCTCATCCATAATCAAGCTGAATGTTATGTGGATGACGTAGTCATTAAGAGTAATTTAAGGCACGAAAGATTTTATGTTTTGAAAACTGTTTTTGTGCGGCTGTTGACCTCATTTTTGGTTGAGGTTTAGTTTTTCCTCTTTAGTAGCCTAAGGTCTAGCCATAGGACTTTTCCTATTGACCCTAGGACTTTTCCTATTGACTATTCCTAGAAAACTAGACTTGGAACCCTCACCATTAGAAATTCCAAACCCTTCTCCACTCAACCTGGAGCTCCATATATTGCTCCCAACCTCTATGTACTTAGTAGGTAGGGTCACTGTGGGGGAAACTCAGGAAGAGTCACCCTTAGGACTGCTGGACCTTAGGGTTGAACTTGGGTGTTGGTCTGGAGCTAAGGCACTCACTACACTTATCCTCACAATCACTCACAACTCTGAGCTCAAATTTCTAGCCTAGATCCCTTGATCTTTTGGGATACTCATGTAGATGGTCCCCTAAATCTACTAGCTCTAGGGCTATGGTTTAGCTAAGACCACTATGTAGAGGACCCAAAATGAGGTTTCCTTTGGTCCACAACTTATTGGTTATGATTGGTACCTCAAATAGATCAAAATACCCATCTTGGCCTTTTACCCCTAAAGCACCCCCAAATTACCAAAATACCCCTCATTGACCCAAAATTCCAAAAAATCCAAAAATTCCCAGAAAATCCCAATAAATACCAAATATTCCCAATTTCATTTCTCTCAACTACCATATGACCCAATTTGGCCAATTTGACCATCTTTAACCAAAATCCCCAAATTGCCCTTTAAAGACTCAAATTTCCTCAAATCCATCTTAAATGTCCATCAATTGGGTCTCAATTGACCCCAATTCCAATACCAAACTCAAAATCACTTTTGATATGACCAAAATAAACCAAATCCAAGCTTAATTGGTCCATGATTTGAGCCCAATTTTGATTGGGCCAAAACCCCAATTTTGACCATATGACTTAATCTCAGCAAATTGAACCCATAGCCTAGTCAATTGGCCCCAATTGATATTGAAAAATCTTGATAACATTCATATACATCAAAATCAACCATGAATTAGCCTTGGTGAAGCCTCAAATCCATTTAATTTTGGCCTAAATCCAAAATTCCCAAATTTAGTCCCAAATTGGCTAAGTCCCCAAATTTCACCCAATTGATTGCCTTAACCTCCAAATTGGCATCCAATTCATGTTGAAAAATCTTCATGAG